CATAACCTACTTTATAATGTGATTAAGGTTCAATTAGTCTGATATATCATGCTAATATTAAATAATAATAAAATGTACATTTATATCAAGTATCACTTGAATGCACTTGTCAACTCTTAATATAAGTATCTGATCGGTCAATTTTTATGATCATTAGGTTTTTTTTTGTAGATACTTTATGTGATTTGTTATGTGATGACCGAAGATTTATTTTAGTAAAAATTTGTACTGGTTTATTGAGCATGAATCATCAGAACAATTATGATATACATGTTCATAAATTATAATCAGAAGCTTTGCAAATTGAAAAAAAAAACATTTTTATCAGTAAACATTCTTTCGAATTTCGAATTCGAAGGCTAATAGCTGTCGATTAGCTCCAAACATATATAGTGACGAAATAGAACCCAAGGAAATATAATATACTAGCTAAAAAGAGACCTCTCAGAAAGGATCATACCCATGACCAAAATCCACAAAGAATTTTGGCGAACGGTCATCGATGACGACCAAACTCCTAATGAAGTTTGAACGTCTTTCTCACGCTCAGGGTACGACACTACGACTCATCGTCGAGGTCGCATCAACTCCACTTTTGAGTGAAGAGATTGTGAAGACATACTACAGAAATGATCCTGTGAAGTATGATCTTGCCGAAAAGAAGTTTTGACCTAGCCAAGCCAAAACCTGCCAGGTTTGTGCGGCGATCACAGGTATAACGTGAGGCAGGTATACGAAGAGCGGACATCTATCGTTTCATTTTCAACTCTTACTACCTATAGAAAGAGTGTAGTGTGTATATACGCGTAGTTGGAAAAGTGCATTAGATGAAGGAGTTCATATAATAAGTAAATGATATAGGTTCATATTTTCCGAATTCAGCATTTATTTCAAACCTGATGATCAATATATGCCTAGCTAATACTGATAGTAAGCTTTTTTTTTAACTCAGTTTTATTTAGCAATCAGAAATACATAAAGATTCCCATGAGCTAAAATGACAATATTTAAGAGCGATGTCTAAGAAGATCTCCTATGAGAACTTCTATTAGTAAACTTATACTAAAATAATATGACATAAAATATTACTTATGCTTTGGTTCACGGTAACCATGTTATAATAGTTCTTTATATTATTGTAGTATTACATTTTCGTCAGTTGATTTAGAAGTTGACTGAACCGAGTCTTTTACCTGAAGCAGAACTGGTTAATCTCTTCTTCGATAGATAGAATATGTAGGTTTCGATATAACAGTCAGTCGGGTACATAGTTTGGAGCGTTTACAATCTGCCTTAAAATTTTGTTCTGAAACCTCTGCAGAATTGCTTTGTTTGATTTGCTAGCCGCATCCCATAGTTGTAAACCGTAAGACCATATTGGTTTAATGATTATCTTGTATATTAGGAGTTTATTTTCAAACGATTTGCAGCCACTTGGCCAATTGATTTACCTACGTATCAGTTCAACCTGCTGGCGTTTCTTAATTATCTTCTATACAAATGTATACCAAGATAATTAACTACATTGGATACAGAAACCAATTTACCACTTAATTTAATAGGCAGACATGAATCTTGTCGTAGGGTAAAGGTAACAAACTGATTTATAATTATTTACTTTTATTCTCCATATATTTAACCATTTCTCTATTTAATCTCCATTTCAATCCCACATCTAATTTTTTATTTGTGTTTAATTACGCAAGGAATTATTTTCTCAATATAAGCTTACATAAAATGATTGCCATAAAAGATTGACACAAATAAAAGCAGCTGTTATATCGGATTTATTTTTTATAAATTATAGCACAAACGGTCAACAATGTGCAAAAAGTTCATAGACCATACCGTGTCAAAGTTTACAAACTTATTTATATGTTTCTAAACAATTGTTTACATTTTATAAATCTAGTTCCCGATCGAGTTAATCTTTATTCGTCGGTTATAAATTGTGCGATGGCAAAGTTCCAAATATCTCAAATACTTGCTCACCGGGAAATCTACAGAGTAAATTTATGAAAGAGCAGAACGTCTAGACAATTTCTAGTTAATAAAATTAGAGTTTAGGTCTAAATTTATATGAATCACTATAGAAATTAAGATGAATGGAAAATCTTTTCTAAGATAGTTTTCGTTCAACATTTTTAGTTAAATCGCGACAAATATTGTTTCAGAGAAATATGGTATATTTGAATAGTATATATTGTTAATAGGACTTTAATGTTCACCTAAATAAGGCTTTAGAATTTATACTATTAAGTCTCATAACAAATATAAAATAAACTCCGTTATACTGATTTATCCTAATTTTAAATAATTCTCTGGCAATATATAGAATTAATTTAATTTCATAAAATTTACAAAGCAAAGTTTGAATTTATTAATATAATAATATACTTTCTGCGTAGCGTATCAATGTGCACACATAGACATACCTAAATTAATATAGGTCGCGTCAGCGTTTTCATCAAACCCAAACAAATATTTGCTGATACACTCGATATTAAATACAATCATAAAAAATCTCATTTTCTACATTGCATTTAATGCCAAAGAGGTAAAAATCCGTTGGAAATAAGGGATGAAAAATCGCAGCATAATAGAAGAGTTCTCTTTATGATGTTCTCGTTCTCATTCATCAAAGCGAAAAATAGGACCGCTATTCTTTAGGACAAACGGGACAATAGATGTATTTTTTCATGAAAATTTTATGAAAAAATTGATTTATAGTTTTTATATGTTTTAGACGTACAGTAGTAATGAAATCATACTACAACAAATTTTACTATTAACCATTTTGCAAAGATCGTCGCCGATAGACGACATTTGCATGACGATCTCTTTGTACAAGATTTCTACTTTTATGTTCTAAGAATTTTAGTATGTTTTTGTAATTTTTACTTCTTTTAAGTCGATTCCTATTAATGGCGATACGTGCTGATGAGTATTTGGTAAAGGTTGGCCCAGCCATTTCGGAAATACAAGGCAAAAAGTGCAACAAATGACAATTCAGTTTGTGAGATAATGGAGCATACGATGAAGGTGATTCAAGAGACATTCGATTTGTATTGGTTGGAAACAGCTGATTATTTTTAAGCAAAGACAGATCGTGCCGTTTTAAAGATTCAGAGCAAAAAAAAACATACGACTTGAAAGATTCCAAAAATACTTCTTGTTAAACTTCAATACCACACATTCTTGCCAAGGGAAGCCCAATGGTTTTGGAGATATAGGAATAAAAATTTAAAAAAAATAACATTTATTGGTCAAATATGATCTTTACTAATCACTATCATTGATTCATGTACAAATAGATTGGTCAATAAGTAGACAGCTGAATAGGTAGGCAGACTTACAGGTAAACAGGTAGAAAAGTAGAAATGCTGGCTGGTAGGCAGGTAGGCTGATGATAAAGGTAGATAGGTAGATAGGTGGACAGATAAATATCAAAACAGATAGATAGGTAGATCAACAAAATTAAATTACATTTGAATAAAGCGATTATTGACACATACCAGGACGTTCATGCCAAAAGGCAAAATGCCTCTTACAACTAGTTTAGAAAAGTTGTTTTTAAATGAAACCTAGAATATTAATAGAAACTAAAAATTCAATTTACATAAAATATTAGGAAACTAGCGGTACTAGTACTTCTCGTACCGTAATTAAATATTCGAGAACTAGCCTGATAGGAAAAAGTTGGATCTGTCCTTATCAAAAACTAATCAGGACGTCTCGCTGCCAAAAGGAATCGAATGTTTATTGAATCAATCAAATTGGTTGATCCGTTCTCTATCAAACGTGGACGAAAATTGTATCCAGACATACGTACATAAACACACACATACACTTATCAATGTACAACTTGATTTGTAAATAAGATTTGTAAACTAGTTCATGCCCAAAAGGCAAAATGCCTCTTATAACTACTTTAGAAAAGTAGTTTTGCCTTATGGCATCGTGTCTTAAGGCAAATTGCAGGTACTTCCCGTACCACAATTAAATTTTCGAGAACTTTTAAATAATTTTAGTCTGATTGGAAACGGTTGGATCTGTCCTTGCCAAAAACTAATCAGTATGTCATGCTATCAAAAGGGTTCGAATGTTTTTTGAATCAATCAAATCTGTTGACTTGTGCTCTCGAAAACGTGGACGAAAATTGTATCCAGACATACATACATAAACACACACACATACACTTATCAATTTTTTCTAAGGTATCCCAAAATGATCAGAAACCTATGAAGCGTAAAACTATGCAAAAAATTCGTTTTCGATTTTTTGACGATTTTAACTTACCCTACACGAAGTTAAAACATAGAGAAAATGGATGTAAAACAGTTAACAAAGGATAGAAAATATATTGAATATAATATAGAATTCAATAAAATATACTATATTTTAATATTTAAGTATGATGTATATTCTAGAACAAAAGTGACAAGGTTCTGATATCTCGTTTTCGTGACAAAACAATCAATTCTCGTCGGCTCGTTTTGATCATAATTTTTCCTAAAATTTCACAATCATTACATTACGCCAGATTTATATTTAGAGTTTATGACACAATCCGTCGTACGAATAAAATCAACGAAAATGCTTTAAGGATACGCTTGAATAAACCCCTTTTCGTTGGAGGCAGTGCGCGCGCTTCCCATTTGCCAAATCAATACCTATACACTGAGGTCTGTTTCGCTCGGAAGGCTCGCATTGTCAGTCACACCGCGTTCCCGTTATCACTCCACGCTAACCTCAACACGAAATAAAAATAAACTCATTACTCTATCAATTAGCATTCATTTACTCCACACAAATTAAATTTTCGTGAGTCTAAACACCTCCCAGCGAATCGTCGAAATTCGCCGAGAAACGGCAGTCGAACGCTTTCAAAAACGGTTTTCGTACGTTTGCAAACACGGGGCACCAAACGGGTCAAAACGGGACCGGATTTGTTCGGATACGAGAGATCAGAATTTGTCGGTAATAATAAACAACGGATGATGGAGCAACCGGAACGTTTTTCAGATTATTTGTTCGCCAAGATGGGGACAACAACGGGCTCCGTGACGGACACGGCGGATACCAACGCCGACCAGGAGGCTCCCAAGGAATTGACAGGATTTAGGAAATGGCTCAGCGAAAATCTACTGCTTATGGTCACGCTGAGTGGTGTCATCTTAGGAGTCGTTATTGGTGAGTCAATTTTTTATTTAAATATTTAGTTTTGCATATTTCCATAGTGTACTTTGTGGTTTGCCATAGTGTACCGGTTTATAGTAGTAAATACCGGTTTTCAATTTTACTTATTTTATTGTTTGGCAGTGCGTAATCCCATTAAATCAGGGTCTGTCGGTACCCAGAAACCGGTCGCGGAACCGTTCCCCAGAATATAATCGTGGCGAAAATTACTCGAAAGCCGGTTTTTAGGAAAAAAATATTGTATTCGTAAACCGGTTTTTAGTAGTACCGGTTTTCAATATTTATTTTATTGTTTGGTAGTGCGTATTTCCATTAAATCAGAGTCTGTCGGTACCCAGAAACCGGTCGCGGATCCGTTACCCAGAATATAATCGTGGCGAAAATTACTCGAAAGCCGGTTTTTAGGAAAAAATTATTGTATTCGTAAACCGGTTTCCAGTAGTAAATACCGGTTCTCAATTTTATTTATTTTATTGTTCGGTAGTGCGTATTTCCATTACATTAGGGTTTGTCGGCACTAAGGAACCGGCTACGGAACCGAGCCCCAGAATAAAGTTATGACGAAGATTATTCGACCGGGTTTTACCGGGTTTCAGTTAAAAAAAACGATTTTCAGTGTATGAATAACTCTCAGATAAAATCGAAAATGATTAATGTAGCCAAATGTACCAGATTGATAAAAAAATACTGTGCAAAGCGATAGCCGACCCTCGTTATATAATTTTAAAAAGATTTACAAACGGATATATAAAAATTATTCATAAATACCGCATAATTAATTGTTTTAAAGTTATTTAATCCTGGTCATTTATTATTTTTTTGTTCTAAAAAATTCCATTTAAAATTATCAAGAAAATTGACGGGAAATGATGCATTTAATCACTAGATAATTTCTGTTAAAAATAGAATTTATTCTGTTATAAATAAAAAAAATTATTCGAACAAGTAGTTTTTTTCATAAAAACCCGAAGCCTGTAAAAAACAACTTTTTTATAAAAGTACTATTCGATTACTGGTTTTCTAAAAAGATTTTATATAAACTCTAGTGTACGTATATGTCTTTCTCAAAATTTGCCATTTCAATAGCTTATAACAATTCACTTAGAGATTTTTGACACAATAAAAAATAAAAACGTTTTATGATGAATTTTCAGTAGTATTTTCGAAACCTTTCATATTGTTCGCAATATATTTTTTTACCTTTGCATAATAAATAGTTGTTTATGTTTATTAAATAATAAATGCAAATGAATCGTTGGAATTTGCATAGTAAAACCATATTTAAAATTTATTATCAATTATGTAAATTTATTTATTGTTTCTACACGCTCACGCATGTTTTTAACATACATATGTGCTTAATATTTTGGAGTATAATCAAATTTTTAGATATTTTAACAATCAGTAGATGTATTAAATAGTTTAAAATATTGAGATTATAAAAATATTTTAGAACTTCAAACTTGAAAAAACTCATATACTAGCTCTGATTATCTTTTATCAGGATTATAATTTAACTAAACGAAATATGCCGTATTTAAGTAGTCAGTAAAACGTCATAAATTTTCAGATAATTTAAAATGAACCAGATAAATTTAATATGAAAGTTTGCAAATTTACAAACAAATAATAATAATTTATTCACTATCTCGCAAAATATATTACAATTATATATTAAGATTGCAATAATAATTTTCAAAAATAATATATAGTAACCTGCAGCTAATAATAATATTTGAAAGTACATTATACGGTGTAATGAAATATAGGGATTCAAAATAAGTTTCAAAATTATTGCTAATTTTGACCTTATGAAAAAAGTTAAACCTACATGATACAACTGAACTATTTGTTAGTTATATTGTTACATTTAACGTATTTTGGATAAAAAGTATATAAATTATCAATTCATACGCATTAAAAATAATTAGAATCATTTGCATATTAGCATATGAAAAATCCATTAACAAAATGAATTCATTAAATTAGAGAATACAGAGAAAATTTTATGTTTACGAACCGTTGAAGCATTAACTGCCAATTATTTCAACAACACTTAGGAGAAATAATTAGACAACAATAAGTAATCGATATTACAGAGAACCAAAACAAATAAGCTAAAAGCATTTAAGTAAAATATAATTGAGATTGAAATATTTTAATTTATTGCGTGTTTTGCGGTATTAACAAATTTATGAATAATAAATAGATCAAAAATTATTTAAATAAAATAAATAATACAAATATTAATATATTTATTACTTTTATAAAATAATTTACACATACGGAAAATAAGATTTGAAGTTTCATACGTAATGAGTTATACACGTGATAAAAATATTTGCATAGGAATGTAATTGTTCCAAATATTGTTCTACTCTGATACAGCTAGTATAATATCTAAAAAAAATTATTATACATGCATTCAAATTTGATCATCTTCTAATTTATTTTTGGCAAATCTACAAACATAGTCCTTGTATCATATCTTAATATAAAAACATAAAAGGTCTGCCAATCTGATTAGTTTTAATATGCAAAAATATAGAGACTTAATAATTTAATTGAAACTATGTGATAACTGTGAAAACTAACCTTGGTAAACAATTTCATATTAAGCAAAATGATTAATTGAATTGTTTAACTTTGGAAAGAAATTAATGGCTATTTTTAATCTAATGATTAGGATTAATGTAGAGTAAAATTTGTGAACTTTACTAAGGCATAACATAATACAGCTCATTCCTCAATTTATTATCGAAATTTTCTTAGATTTTGATTTCAAATTACAAATTACGTTTTGTACATAATAATATATTTTTCTACAACGCTTGTTTATTTATTTTACAAAATAATGCTATTTTTGTGTAAAAATTGCTATATTTTTCACAATACGTATCAATTATAAGAAACACAAAAAATAGCCAACACTGTTTTAATATTAATTTCAAACAATATTATTTTACAGATATGACTTTCAACAATATATATCATTATTTCCACTTTTTTAGAATTTTTTTCTATGAAAATCTACAATTTTTTAGTCATTTGTATAATGCCAGGAATGCATATAAAAAAATTATAATGACAAAACTAATCCTATTTGCATTAATCGGATTTACATAATACCGATTTGTAGTCATATGGAACACTAAATGAAAACATACAAAAGGTATAAAACCAGAAACCTGAGGATTTTATTATATTATTAAAATAAAGCGAAATTAGTATTTCTCAGAAAAAATGTACATATGATATCTCATTGTGTAAAGGGATTTTAGTATTATTCAGCATAAAATGAACACAATAGGTCTAATTTGGTAAAAATTATAACAAAACTTGTGTTTCTAATAATTTAATTTATATGTAAATTGACTTTTTATTTTCATTTATTCCTATATCTTTAAGTTAAATTTCATTTTTAACTTGACTCAATAGTTGATGAGTTTTTTTTAACTTGGTTTATCTGGTTGTTATACATTACTTTTACTCATTATAGATATTAGTTTTCAAAAGCATATTTTTATAAAAAAGTAGATTTTCTGTTGATTCTTTTACCATGACAAATTCAAAAGTATTTTAACAGACCATATGAAATATCATATTAAAATCTGAGAAAAACGTTCAGAAATTATCGATCCACTCTCTTTTGATTATAAATCATTATTTATTAAATATATTAGTTTTCAGAATCATATTTTTATAAAAAAGTAATTTTTCTGTGGATTCCAATCATAACAAATTCAAAAGTATTTTAACAGACCATATGAAATATCAATTAAATCATATTAAAATCTGAGAAAAACGTTCAGAAATTATCGATCCACTCTCGTTTCATTTGAACTGGTTGAATATTGACACAAGTATTGAGATTTTTTAATATTTCAATTTACTTTTACATTTGCTTTAAATTTTTGAGTCAACAAAACTACGTGAGATCAAGGTAAATTGAGAAATAAATATTTTTTTCGTGGAAACGCAATATTATGAATGTTTACCAATAAAAGATCATTTAAGAGAGCAAAGTGACGCAGAAGAAAATTTCTTACTAAATGATTGAATAATTAGTATATTTTTAAGCTATTAAATTTAGATTTCAATATTTTTAAATCATAATTGAAGTTAAAATTTTCGTTCCGTCAAATATATTGAAACTATGAGTTCTCATATAATTATAATAATTATTACATTACAAGAGTTTTGTTTGAATAATAGAATTGTTTTTTTCTCTAAAATGTAGGGTTGCACTAAAAATGATGAAGTTAATGCAATAACAGATAAAAAATATTATTTATAATTAATAAATATCAAATTAAATTTTTCAAATTTTAGAAAAACAAAATAGCTTTTTCCTCTAAATACTACGATTTAATTTTGAAAAGCGATAAAATATTACAATAATATGTAGTGAAATTGAAAAAAATGGAATGATGGAGTTGAAATAATACTAATAATAATAAATTGTAATAATATCAAAAATAATAATTATTGTAGTGTAGTGTAGTTGCATTAAAACAAATTATCACAATAAATTGCTTGAAGTTTGAATTATAAACGTTGCATTATTGTTTGTTGCAGCAATCAAGCAAAATATAAATGTTACTTAGGTGTATTACTTCTTTAAATATATTTATTTATTTATGCATCCCACAGTTAATTATTGCATTACACAGTAAATATTTTAAAACACAGCTACCGTGGAAAAACTATGCAAACTTTTCCGCAATTTGCTAAACCTCTCCAAACGCATTTTATCATTTTATATTTGCTCTGCAATTTACATATATTTGCTTTCCCGTAATTTCATTTGCGGTTCTTTACATTTTTCGTATTACCCACGTGTCTGATCTCTGCGGAATGGAAAACAGAAAATAGTTTTCATTTACATAATAAATAAAACTTACTAACATCGAATTCGAAGAAAATTCCAGGTGGCAACAGTGAATCGATAAATATATTTGAAAAACTGCCTAAAATAAATCTAGGATATCCATCATATGTAATTATTAGAATAGTCGAATGTGAGGTCACTGGCCGAAAATTGTACTCATATGGATAATAATATGGGAAAACAATTTTTGTTTTCAAGTAGTCAAATATATTAAATTATGTATTGCGACTTCAAGAATTTGTTTATTTATAATAATAAGTTATTATCATATTCAGACCGGGAAGAGAAATTTTTCTTTCTCTTATTCCTCTAATGGAAACATTTTCTCTTTCAATTTTTTTTGATAATATTATAATCAAGAAAAGAAAAATTAATTTGTTAACGAACTTGTTCTTTATTGTATAAAATATTTTTTTTATTCAAATAAACACTCAAGTTTTATAATTTATTATTACTTGATTTAAACTCGGCGGCATCCGAGTGGCAAGGGTTAAGTAATTTCTTTAAATCTAATTATTTCAATCGACACTTTTGCGTTAACATTTTATTTGGAATATCAAAATGTATTTTTTTTATTTTACATAAAAATTAATTTAATAATAAATCAATCAATAAAAAAACAATTATTAATAATATAATGTAAATAATTATTAAAATAATATAATAATAAATATAACTAATATAAGCTATAATATATGTATGCTTTCTATATAAATTAACAAAAAAAAATAAGTTTAGTATAAATATTCAATTTACTTTTACTTCGTACAATTAAAATAATGAAATCCAGATAATTGTAAAAGGAAATTTAAAACTAAATAGTAATAAGCTTCACATTCTAATAATGAAACATTATTTGTCAAATTTTTAAACCAAAGTTTTATAAAATAAATTATTAAAAAATATACTAAATGTAAAAATAGTGAAAAAATAGATAGAGCAAACTATATAAAATTTACTAAACATTTGCTTGATATTTCAAGACAAAACTATATTTGCAATTTTTATATGTAGGTGTTTTAATGTTTCATAATATTTGAAATACTAAACTCAAATTTTCAGATTCAAAATAGTCGTTTATAATGTGTCTCGCCGAGAAATAACTCCAAACCACGAATTGACGTTCTGTACTAAAATTACCGTCAATATGTGGTTTTTATAGTAAATTATTATTAGAAAATAAAAGTATATGTTGTTTAGTCTAGATTAAATCTTTTCATATATCATAATACCAAAAGCTCTGAATTATGGCTAAAACCCAAAACTAATCCATACACAGGTACGGCGAATGCAAGACATGTAAAATCATTTTTCTATTTTGGGTATTTAAATACATGTTTGAAAAAATAATTTGGATGTCTATTTAATGCTTCGAAGTTTGTAAACAGATTTTATTAGTTTACTGACTACAATTTGTCTAATGACAAAATAGCGTGATAGCTTCTACAAGGATTCGTTTCGATTTATGATCACTTGAAGAAACTTGAAATAATGATCGTACTAAGTAATTAATATATAAATATGAAGTTACCTTATTTATGAAATAAAATGGTTATCAATATATTGATATTGCTATTGCAAAAAAATGCTATTATCTGCTAATTATAGAGAATCTGCTAGACTGATCTTAGCACAAAACTGGTCAATGCCAGTCTAAAGCAAGATTTATCAAATACTTTTTAAATTTGCACCTGATGTTTTTGCGACATTTTTGGAAAAATGTCGAAAAATGGTCAAATTTTACACATATTTTTTTCAAATTTTGGTGTCCAACAATTTAGAATGTATCATATTTTGTGGCGATCACAAATTTCTCTCTTGTGAAGTAATCCCAATCAAATATAGTTTTAATATTGTATTTAATTTTTCATTTTTTTCCAGGTTTTGGTCTACGTCCCGCCCATCTGGATGCCGAATCAATAATGTTGATATCATATCCTGGAGAACTGTTCATGCGGGTCCTTAAATTGATGATCCTTCCTTTGGTGATAGCAAGTTTGATATCAGGATCTGCCAGTCTAAATGCTAGGATGAATGGACGAATTGCTTTGCGAACATTATTGTATTTTGTTTCCACTTCCTTATTTAATGCCATTTTGGGCATCTGTCTGGTTCTCCTGATACATCCTGGTGATCCTGGTATGCATCCTGATTTTATCAGCTCCAATGGACCGAGACAAGTTAACATCTTGGACAGCCTTTTGGATTTGGGAAGGTAAATAATTTTTTATGATTATCAAATACCAAAATAATCACAAAAAATGAATCATTATATTTTAAAATGCTCTCATATATCATTTTTTTACTATGGAAATATTTTTATCAAAGTGACAAAAATAAGTATCTGTGCGATTAAAAAAGCATTTCACTCAACATTCCATATTTAGATTAATATTTTTATCACTTAAGTACAATTTTATGTATCATGGAACCATGATAGTAATTAGGTAGAAATAAATCGATTTTTGGTGTTTTGTTTGTCGTCAACTATTCCAATATCTATTTTTTACGCAAGTAATCAACTAATAACCAAAAACCAACTGCCAGAAAGATAATACTAATGGATTTTTATTAGATTTGAGAAAAATTCCATTGACAAAAATTTATTAAAGAAAATATTATCGAATTTATCACAGAACTAATTTTCACAAAATGCGTAGTTAATTTCATTTTATTAAAATAGCTTTTGACATAGTACCATTCTTATATTTTTTTTACAGTATTTATGGTGTTTATGATTACCAACTTTCTTCAGCTTTAGTAATAGTTTATAGTTTGTTTGATTGTTTTGATTAATTATTAATTTCATTTGAAGCCAATAAATAGTTTTAATATTATGCATAAATTAATAAAAGACTATAAAGCATTTGTGATGGGATGATGGGATATAACAATTTTCTTATACAATTAGTTCAAATATTGGTTATAGATTTTTATTTGTTGACTACTAATTTGCTTTTAACATTTCTGTACAAATGCATTATTAATTTCTATGATTAATGGGTAGAACAAATTATTGTCTTGATAATTATGAATTACCTATATATCACAAAAGCGTAAACAAATCGTGTTTTGTTACATACAAAACAACATTTGAATTCGATGTCATAAGGACAATTATACCTTAATATACTATTATTATGTAATTGGTAAAACGTCTAGAATAAATTACAGTTAATTATGTTATAATTATGTGAGAGTTTTACCAAGTAGGTAGATCAGAATATTTTTTTAATTTCATTAGTTTTCATTAGTAATTTATTTAAATTAATTTAATATTGATCGATTATTTAAATAATTAAAAATTTTATTTGAATAATTTGAAAAAGTTGAAGAATATTTATATGAAATTGAATCATTTTCTTTCATAAATTATTTTTGGCAATTTACTTTATCAAAGTTTTAGCATAATTTATTTTAATTGCATTTATTTTAATTTGTATGAAGTAGTAATTTTATTGTTAATATTTTTAAAATTAATTTTTCCAAATAAGTATAAAATTATGTTTTACAATTATGACTATATAAGTTATACTTATTGTTGGTTGTTTCAAGCATTTAAATGTCAAATTGACACTCAAAACTTCAAATATGATTTCTGTTTTTTTAAAATTGCTTTGACGTCTTCAAATATATTATGCCTATGAGAAATTATATTAGTTTCACAATACACAATAATTGAATTAAAGTTAAGTGAACTAAAATAAATCCGTAAACATGGTTTCTGTATCATTAATTTAATTATCAAATGCAACCTAGAAGTGATATACGTTTGTTAAACAAGGAATTTATCTCCATAACTTATTAGTCTCGACTTAGAGACTTATTAGTCTCGAAAAAGCGAAAACAATCTATTTCCATTTACTAATAAAATATGCTTCCTTAATATCCTTTCAACGGTATTGTTTTATTTTTATAAAAATAATACTTTAAAAGCGACTGTCCGCCACCTGAGAGGACGTGCTCCACATTTTGAAAACCACGGAACTAAAATAAATGTCTCAAACGCGAAATCAATCTATTTCCATTTACTAATAAAATATGCTTCCTTCGTCGCATTACCTATGCCACTAAAGTGATATAAATATCTAAAATGCGATATCTATTTCGGTTTTCAGAAATCTGTTCCCGGACAACCTATTCCAGGCCGCGTTCCAACAGGCTCACACCGTCTACGTTCCCGCGCCCAACACGAACGCGAGTGACCTAGATCCTGAACTGGTACGAGCGGTGCAATACAGGTAAATTATTATATATTTTATAAAAATTATATGATGAAAAATCGATGTCACAACTTGTTTAGTTTCAATGAGAGATACATAAATCATATTCATTAAAAAAAAATCGAAATTTTGGAAAAAAATTGTTCAGGAGCTAACAAACTAGTCAGTAGCATGTGTTTCAAAACTTAATTGCAGCAATTATTAATGGGGAAAACACATAGACCTTGCATTGCAGGCCTAGCAGTCCATGTAGTGTAGTGTCTATGGGAAAACATATTTGTATATTAGGGTGGTGGTGCATATAACTTAGCGTGACATAATTGGTCACTTTTGATTCACTTATCGCTAAGTTATATCTAAAAGACATTTTTAAAATTTTTGAAATTTTTTCCATGCTAATTCATCCATACGAAACTTCAATTGAACTGCACTCTATCTAAAAGTTAATATTAAGAGCTTAAACTTTTAGAGATTTATTTTTATCAATTTGGAACCATTTGAGCTCCTTGGAGCAAGGAAATTCGAAAATGTCCATATTATGGACCACCCTATTGTACATATGTGTGTGGATGTATAACACACATACATTACAAAAATAATTCACAAAATTACTTTTTTTTTTCTTAGACAAATTATTAAAAGAAAAATTAGAAGAAATCAAAATTAAAATATATTTATACCATTCAATTATGATATAGGAACATATGCATACTCAATGCAAACAAGATTCATATAGCAAATGAAAACAAACAATACTAGGAATCTAAATGCATTTAAATGTAATTTGAATAAGTCGTTGTCAACTGAACCATAAAACAATAATAATAATAACTTAATTTCGCATTGGACATAGTAGTAAAATTAGCATACATAATATTCAATTTTTTCGAGAAAATGCTTATTCTGCATAAGCTTTATTTTTTCCGCAAAAACAAATTTCATAAAGTTTTCAATCTTTTATTCTATATTCTTTAAATTACTTTTTTGGTATAAGAATTGAAATCATACATATTACTCCGATCATTTAAAAGAGCAAAATATAAATTTGACAAAGATTTAAAGATATGAAGTTGCATTTAAAATTAATTAAAATCAAACTAAATTATAAAATTAAAAAAAAAATCTATAAATTAAGCTGCGCACATTGGAATCCATTAAAGAGCGAATTTAGAATTTTTGAGGGATTGCTATCTTAGCACAAGATTATTTTATTTTATTGCTATTACAATTATTTTTTTATATTTTTTTATTTTAAAAAAGAATCAAAATCAAAACATATTACTATAATTCATTTAGGGTTGTTTTGAGAGCAACATGCAAACTTGACAATGATTAATCTGAAGGCTATCAACCACTACTGATGATTTCTATACACGATTAAATTTATTTTTAAAAGTTGTCGATGTAAAATAAAACAAATGATAAAAAAAACAGAAATAATAACTTAATTTTGCAGTAGACGTAGTAGCAACATAGACATTTACAAAATGTCCTCGAAAATATAACCGAATTTTTATTTCCAATGTCTACGACGAATACACAAAATTTATAATTTTCATAGTATTATTTTAAAACCGATAAAACATTTTAAAAATAAAATTATTCATCGGAAAAACCTTTACCTTTTATTATTTTCCATAGAGAAATCTCTCAATATCCTAATGAAATTATAAAAAATATGTGTTGTTTAAATAATGATATATAATTTTGTATACAATCTATTTATCCAGCGATATTGAAATTGCGGTTAGCATCAAATTAACAACAAATAGAATAATACATACATACACATATATATATTATAGATATACATATTAACAATAATAAATACAAAAGTTACAGCATCGTATTAAATATTCATTACTACTTGATATGCATGAGAAAATCTCCATGTTCAAGTACTTCCATTATTTCTAATGATCATGTCATTCAATGAAGAACATCCAAAACGTATTTAAATTCTTAGTATTGTTTTGATTTCATTTGCCTTTAGAATTAATCTTTGCCAAGTTTGCACTTCGTTCCTAGAACAATTCTAAATGAATAATAGTTATATATTTTGAAAACTTATTTAAGAAACCTGGTCTATAGCAACAAACAAAATGAAAGTATATTTGTATACGAAACATTAATTTCACTAGCTCCAAAATTGACTAAAGTTTAAATTTATTTTCATGATCTAACTTTGTATTTGACTATATTTTTGCACATAAATTATCACACGTTTTCCTGTTCAATATGTGGTATAATTTTAAATTTACAAAACGTGTGTAAAGTGTTAATGCATGTAATTTAAAATATCAATATTTCGATTAGAATATCTCGTTTATATGTGCATATTTTATAGACATGTAGTGCTAAATGACCTGCTATTTGCTAAATCTAGATTTTAGCTTAACATTGAGCATGCTAATAATAATCACGAAAACATATTAGAAGCACGCGATCAGCGAGTTACTGAATGGACTTTACTATTTATTCAAGATTTTTTTAATACATTCGAATATACAAATGTACAGATATATATATATATATATATATATATATATATATATATATGAGCAAACAAATGTTTCACGATTTCGAATAATGATTATCAGATTGAACAAAAATGGATTGAATTATATTATACTTTATCAACTCATTCACATATTCAGTTGCGTTTCTAAAGGAATGAAATAATTATAATAATTAAGATTGTTTTTATTTATATATATAATATATATATATATATATATATATATATTCACTTTTATTTCTTTGTTATTAAAATTAATCTCGAATTAAAATTTATAATAAGTCAGAGGAAACATATGAAAATCATCAAATATTCTGTACAAAAACATATTACATAAGCATTTTTACTACTAAATGAATATTTTATATTTTTGTTATATTTAATTTTCTGTAATATTTAATTATTATGAAAAAGTTTTACTAACCAGAACTTTACTAACAACGTAGTAGTTTAATCGAACTACTTTTGCTGGTTAATATAATATAGAATGAGCAATTGTAAAGTTTGTATATAATTGGGTTCATAAATGTATTTTCTAACTTTTGAAAAGCTTTGAGGAATATCGATTACTCTGATTGCTATTATATTTCTCTATAAGTATATAATTTTATAAAGCATGACAATGATTTAGAAAAAATAAAGCTTTAAGTATAATTGTTGCAGTATTTTTTATCGTTTGAATTTCATACTTTTACATTACATAACTAAAGTATATAATTACTTCAAAATACAGAATTACAATGACAATGACAAATTAATAAATATTCATTTTTCGATAAATTCTGAATGAATGGGTGTAATATTTTTTAGAATATTTTCATTATATATTATGAAATGAATGTGAATAAACATATTACAGTAAAATGTGAAAACCCCACACAAAATTTTCCCTGAAGAAAAAAGTGATTACTATTTCATTGAATATTACGTTTGGTTAGGGAATTAATACTGGTTAAACAATATTATATTAAGACATTTTTATAATTTTAAAAAAATATCATATTGCAGTTTCATAAATTACTGATTAATGAAAAATATGTTTTTTCACAAAATTTAAAAAAATCTAAATAATTTACTTTTTAAAATATGATAAATGATTCATAGTGTGGATTCTTCATTCTATAGAATCATATTCGATAGCTTAAATAACAAAATATTAATATAAAATTAAAGAAATAAAATAAAAATATAAAGTCGAAATATAAATTTAAAAAAATAATAATATGAAGTCGAAATGAATTTTAATTAACTTCCCGCAGGGCAAGTTATAGTAATCGCAAAAAAATCGAAAATGAAAATTTTTATATATCTTTACGTTTCAAAGGTTTCTGAACATTTGGCATACCTTAGAAAAAATGGATGTATGTGTTGTGGTGTGTATTGTGGTGTGTATGTGTGGGTGTATGTATGTACGTGTGTGTATGTATGTGCGGATACAAATTTTCGTCGACGATTTCGGGAACACGGATCAACCGATTTGAATAATTCAAAAAACATTCGACTCGATTGATAAGGAGACGTGGCTGATTAGTTTTTGGCGAAGGCAGGTCTAGCCGTTCCGAAGATACGGGGCAAAAAGTGCCAAAAACGGTAACTCAGTTTTTAAGAGAACGGAGCGTCCGATTGGAATAATTCAAAAAACATTTCACTGTATTGACAAGATGAAGAATCGATAAAATTTTCATGTAGGTAGGTCTAAGCGGTTTCGGAGATATGGAGGAAAA